GATATCACGCTGCTGGAGTTTCCACTACTTTGCCCCGCTTTTTGTTAGCCACGAGCTACGCTTATTTGGTGCACGTTCATTATACGCATGGGGAGAGCGTGCAGCTTTTCGATCCATGACCGTTATTGATATAATAATTTTACGTAACAATTTTCAATAGATAACTTTAACAACCAACTGACCTTGCTACCCGATTCAATCCTTCCCCCCGCTTCAAACAATATGTGTGCATGTGCTTAAGCATTTATTTCGCCATATTAGTAATGCGATTAAGTGATAAAATGAAAGCAAAAGTTCTTTCAAAATGTACTATGCACATGCACTTACTGACAGAAAAAATGAAGTTTACGGTCACTTTAGTTTAGATCGCTCAGGGGCACGTTTATTTATTTTGTAAGTAAATGTATATGCGTTTTCAACTCGCATCCTTCGAGTTCTACGTTCCTTTCGTTAGAGAGGCGACAATATATTGACATTCTATAATAACATTAAGGCAACTACGGTAATGGTAAAACCTTGTATATGGGTGGAGTAAACTATCACACGGTAAACTACATAGCGTACCCAAGCTGGTTGGTAAATTACTCAATATTTTTGGATAACTTGTACATCATTGAAAAGCTCAATTGAGAAATGACACCAAAACCATGATAGAGATGACTAATTTCAGACAAAATATCAGTCTAAAGCAGAAGTGTCAGAAACCCAATTGTCAAAAATAAGTGAACGGCTGCTACAATTTTGCCTCATTGTGCTTTTGTTAAGGGGAGAAAAGGATATGGAAGTATTCATCGTTGGAAATGCATATAATCTATCTCAGAATTCTTAATCAACTCTCATCTTTACATGGCACCATAATTATGACGGAAGAATCATGTTGGTACCGAGCAGGCACAACTTGTAATGGGTATGGTAAAATGGCATTTGTTCGACTGCCTCACTTCATTTCCTAAAACAAAATGGCATGTACCTAACCCAGGGGCGGATCCAGCCGGCGGCAGGGGAGGGGGCCCAATTCGTGAGAAAATATTTGGGGGCGAAACAGCCGGCCGATAATTCGCATATTTGGGGAGGGGGTGGGGGGGGGGGGGGGGGTGTAGTGAGCACTAATTTATTTATTTTTTTGCTCCCGAAAATTTGAAAATCGTGCCGGCTGATAATTCGCTCAGCCCGCCGCCCCACCCCCCCCCCCCTGGATCCACCACTGGTGTCCAACAATTTTTCAAAAAAATAACTAAAATTTCTATTGTGCAAAATGTATGACTCCGGAGAGTCTTTGCATTTTAGAGTTCCTAGATAATATGCTTTCCATAATACTCTCATTACCTTAGCCTGCTTATACACTCATTCAATTCAATGGACTTGAATATCTCTGTGCATTAACCTGTAGAACTATAATTACTTTTACCTCATTTATCTCTTATCTTTTTTTTGAAGAGCACCTAAAAAGATTGTAAAACAAAGGTGTTTTTAGTAATATTATAATCATGAAGTTTTTATCGTTATGCACATAATCAAGAAACTAAGGTTACCTGTTTGCGATTCTATTCCATATGGTGTTTTAATTATCATGATAATCAGAAAGGTTTGATTGCCGTGCACTAATCAAGAACCTAAGGTTACCTGTTTACGATTCAATTCCATATGGTGTTTAAATTATTATGATAATCAGAAAGGTGTGATTGTCATGCACAATGTTATAATCAAGAACCTAAGGTTACCTGATTACGATTCTATTACATATGATGTTTTAATTATTATGATAATCAAAACGGTTTGATTGTCGTGCACATAATCAAGAACCCAACGTAACCTGTTTACAATTCTACTATTCCAAACGGTGTGTTTATTGTAGCTTGTTTTATACGCTAAGGAGTATAATCAATCCATCGAAGTGAAAACATGATTGGAATTAGTACATACAATCCATGATTGTGCAAATCGATATCTGGGGCAGGCAACGTTCGGTCAGATTTTAGCTTTATATTCAAACAACGTTTTGCGTAACTTTTTAAAGTTTTATTAACAAACAAAAAACCTATAGACGCCCTGTATATATTTGAAATGTTGGTTCATTTTGCTGAGAGAATATAAACAAATTGTTGCTGAGACATGTTGAAGAAAAATGGTCAAATTGAAAAAGGAATAGATTACACTTTTCTGCTCATTATTGAATACAGGGAGGGGAAGTCCACCCTGATATTAAGTTAGCTTTATTAGAAGCAGAACAATTATTTGGATTTTCTGTTGTACGCATAAAAATCAAATTTTGTATTCTTTCATCAATATTCGACTTTAAACGCATTTGTTTTGAAAACCCTCGAGGAATAGGTCTTAAATTAGATCCTATTTCACATTATGATAACATTTGAGTCAATTTTTACCATCAAACTTTTGGGGCTCCCAACGCTTAAGAGGCTCTACACCAGGCGCGGATCCAAGATTTCTTAGGGGGGCCCAAATTTGAAATTATGCAACCAAAATACCGGTACGTAATGGTGACCTGCATTGACGTAGTGGGGGGGGGGGAGTGCAGGGAGGGGCGATTACCCCCTCCCTCCTCCGCAAGGCGCCGAAGCTTTGACGTTTCATTAAATTATTAAACAAAGAAGACGATTCTCGAAAATAGTGAACACTAATTTTTTTTGGGCCCTCGAAAATTTGAAAAATCGACCCCCCCCCCTTGAGCGCCAGGGGGGGGGGGGGGAAGGGCGATTCCCAAAAAAGGGTAAAATTAACGTGTTTTTCCTAGGGCTCCGCCACTGGGTCCAGGGCCCTCAGAAGCTTAAATTATCGTCGGATGAGCATAATTTTATACCTTATTTGTGACACTGGCAGGTCACGAATTGACGTGGGGTCCAGGGGGCATAGCCCCCTGAAGCTCAGGGGTTTTGTTAATAAATAACGATGAGCATATTCTTTTACCTTATTATTTTGTGACACTGGCAGGACACAAATTGCTGTTGGTCTAGGAGGCGGAGCCCCAAGAAGCTCAGGGGTTTTATACATTAAATTATCGTCAGATGAGCATTTTTTATACCTTATTTGTGACACTGGCAGGTCACGAATTGGCGTGGGGTCCAGGGGGCGGAGCCCCAGGAAGCTCAGGGATTTTAGGCAATAAATTACTATCAGATGAGCATATTTTGATACCTAATTTGTGATACTGGCCGGACACAAATTGGCGTTGGGTCCATGGGGCGGGGCCCTCAGAAGCTCAGGGGTTTTTTCATCAATTTATCGTCAGATGAGCATAATTTTATACCTTATTTGTGACACTGGCAGTTCACGAATTGGCGTGGGGTTCAGGGGGCGGAGCCCCCACAAGCTCAGGGGTTTGGGGCAATAAATTACGGTCAGATGAGCATATTTCATACCTTATTTGTGACACTGGCAGGTCACGAATTGGCGCGGGGTCCAGGAGGCGGAGCCCCCTGAGGCTCAGGGGTGTTAGGCGATGAATTACGGTCAGATGAGCATATTTTATACTTTTTTGTGACACTGGCAGGTCACGAATTGGCGTAGGGTCCAGGAGGCGGAGCCCCCGGAGGCTCAGGGATGTTAGGCAATAGATTCCGGTCAGGTTAGCATGTGGGATCCAGGGGCAGAGCCACCGGAAGTCAAGGGGTTTTAGGCATTTAATTACGGTCAGATGAGCATATTTTGATATCTTTCCCCTCTATTTCCCTTTTTTTTTCTACGGTCAGATGAGAATCCAGGGCCCCGCCTTAGGCCAATGGTTGGGTTCGGGGGGGGGGGGCAGAGCCCCAGAAGCTCAGGGATTTTAGGAATTTTATAACGGTCAGACAAGCATGCAGGGGCCCGCCTTAGGGCCCCTGGTGGGGTCGAGGGGGTGGAGCCCCGGAAACTTAGGGGTTTTAGGCATTTAATTACGGTCAGATGAACATATTTTGATACCTTATTTGTGACACTGGCAGGACACTTATTGGCGTGAGGTCCAGGGGGCCGAGACCCAGAAGCTCAGAGGTTTTATGCATTAAATTACCGTCAGATTAGCATCCAGCCGTCCGCCTTATGGCCCTAGGTGGGGTCCAGGGGGCAGTGCTACCGGAAGTCAAGGGGTTTTAGGCATTTAATTACGGTCAGATGGGCACATTTTGAAACCTTTGATATCTTTCCCCTTTTATTTCCTGCTTTTTTTCCTTCTTTTTTCCTTCTTTTTTTCCCTTTTTTCTTCCCTTCTTTTTTTCCCTTCTTTTTTCCCCTTCTTTTTTCCCCTTCTTTTGTTTCCCTTTTTTGCCAGGGGGGGGGGGGGCGGGCCCCCGGGCACCCCCTGGATCTGCCACTGACCTAACCAATAATGAATTATGCTACCTACTCACTCATGCGTGATCATTCCATTATGGTTATGGAAAGAAGAGAATATGAGCTTTTTAATGACGTGTATGTTTAACAGTCATTACATCCACACCTTTTACTATCATTTCAAAACCACCAGGACCCAAACGTAACAGCCATCTACTAAGTTTGGACAATTTGGTTTCTAACAATGCCGCTTCGGGCTCTCTGAAAGTAGTCATACGTGACTTTAAAAAAAAAATCATGATTCTGGTGTTATATGAAGAGAGATTGAGCTTTTTAATCAACATACATTAAACAAGGAATGTGAAATTATCGAGTTATGTACCCGTTAACTCTTGATTCCTTTCTTCAGAGACACCCTGTATTATCCGATGAAGATTGTATTGTTTTTCGTTGTATATTGTCATATTTAATGTAAAAATATTTGATTGAATTCTACCTGTTGTTTTACCTCTAAATTTGTCTCCAAACTACGAGTTCTTTCATATTTGGTCAGTCAGTTTTGAATCGTGTCCAAACATGACAAAGGTAAAAAAAAGAAGAAAAGTAATTCACTGTACATGTCGGTAAACCGGGCGCAAATCGCAGTTAAAAACACTGAAATCGACAGGAAAAATTATAAAAACGAGTTGAAATTGATGTAAAAGTCAATTTTGTAATAATTGTTCTTTATACAGGTAGTTGTGTGGCTGGTGTTGTTGGATTGAAGATGCCAAGGTATTGTCTGTTCGGAGATACCGTCAACACCGCATCACGGATGGAATCATCTGGAGAAGGTATATTTTCTATATTTCATTAAATTTTGTTACAAAACAAGTTCAGTGAGAAATGCAAGCAATGTAAATGGTCAGAGTAGAACATGTGCCATGTATAAACCTTATCAAATGATTGGCTAAGACCGTGCAGTATCAAATTATGTAAAATGATGTAATTGTAATCTCCCATGGGCAGAATAGCGATCACGTATCTTTCACTAATTCCGTCGTGTACCCTAATTTATAATATTTCGCTGTAGCAGAGCGCATATTTGATTGTTATATCATTTTCCTAAATAGCCTTAAAATAGAGACAGGAGTCACTTAAAATAATTTGATAACAGAACAAGAGAATCTACGTGCGCTTACGTTACAAAAACATCTCCAAGAACAATATACGACACAGCAATAGCAGTATAGGCGTCAATGACATAACATTTTTATTTGTTTTGCCAGGAATTTAATCCTTCTTAAATTCCATTAGAGGTGAAAAGATACCATACATTACTTTATCCGAATTAGAATACAAATGAGGAAAGATAGTCGGTGGTAACTACACTTCCGACGATATTTTGTAATGCATTGTAATATATTATCGAAATCAAATGAGATATGAGATCTTCCAATGCGAACTGAGTTAACGAACATTATTCTTTAATATGCAACAAGCCTTTCTATGAGGGTACGTTTCATTGGCTTGTCATTTTCATTTCTGTGTTTCTAATATGAACACATTTCTGTTCATAATCCCCAAGTGACTGCTCAAATTGGTCCATCTTTCTCTCTCATGTACCCTTTTTCTGGTGTTGTATACAAAATGTTCATCGTGTGATACATCCTTGAGGTAAAAAGCTTCTCAGGAAATACCGTGAACTCTTGAACCACAACGAGTACAATCCTCTGATCTTGGCGAGCGAAATAAGGACTCGTATACGGAACTTGTATCATAATAATGAGACCTTGCTTGTGTGGGAAGCTGATGTAATTTACTTGTTCATTTGTAATTGAGTTCTTTATATTTTAACAGTTTTTTAGTTTACAAATGAATTGAAGAAGAATGGACAGATACCATAGCGCTAACAACAATTTGAAGAAGAAACATGAATATCACCAAACTATGTCTGAGTGCACAAAACTTACCCATAGAAACGGGAAGATATAAAAGTAGGTATAGCACACCAAAAATAATTACAACAAACACATGTTATTTGATGGTTGCAAATGATCAAGCTTCATGAAAGCTTCAAAAAACAAAAAACAGAGTTGAAATCGGCCAATGCGTTTTGATTTTTTACCATTTTTTTTTTATATCGCAAAATTACCGAAAAACCTGCCAGAAATGGTCAAATTGTCAAAAATGGCAGAATTCGACAAAGTTGACAACTTAATTCATCACTTTCCTGGACACAAATAATAAATTAAATTATCAGACACTAAAATATCATCTTTGTGGTAAAAAATACAAAAAATAAAATTCATATCTATTACCGTTTTGAAAACGGAAGCCAACAAAATAAGTCATTTTTGCCATTTTTACGAATCTGCAGATATAAAAAGGTTGTGAAAATAACTAAGTCCGCCTAATTAATATGCGCATATGCAATCAAATCAAAACCGAACATGATACATCAGTGAAACCTATATATCAGACAGGTATGGAAATATATTTCATTTGTAATAAAATAAGATCATGAATATTCCTCAAATATGCAAATTAGGTCATTTCAGCTAATTATATATTCGCGCACTCGTTATGCAAATTAGGAAAGTAAAACTGTTCATTTTTGGGGCATTTTTACATCATGTATTCATAGATCATATTTACACCAAATATTGACCTTAAATTCCTAATATTTTTGCAATGCCAATACAATATGGCGATGGAAATTACTTGGATCACCGTCACAGCTATTTCCTCATGTGTTTCACAAATAATTCAGAAAAACCGACCACAGTATATCTGCCTTTTTCAAAGATGTCAGATTTGAGGATTTATGACGATTTTTCCGAGATACCATTCAATAGGCCATAACACTCCACAGAGACTGACTTTCAGAGTGGCAGAAACTTTAGTGACCCCAGTACAGTTGTGGCTACCTTAAGTGTAAATAAAAAATTAATTCAATGAGTGAAACACATGAGGATATTGCATTTTTGTAGGGAAATTTTATACATTGAGTTGCATTTTTTTCACCACGCAGAATAGCAGCGCGAGTCAATGGGCGATCAGCGGGCCATGTCACACATGGCTGAAAAGACAATATTCTAATTCAATAATTAACTTATTTTCCACATGCCTATAACAATGAAACTACACAGAATTGTAGTTAAAGGTATGCTTGAAATATATGTGAAATAAACATTCAAAAATATTGTTTAGTTTAAAAAAAAAATACATTTACAAAAATTTCTATTTCTACCAACTGACTGCTGTTTTGTGTGTGTGTTCGCGGGGCAGACTGTTTGCACAGGCAGTGTGATCATCCTAATAAAAGATCAGAAAAACGCCCGCGAATCTACGATTCTGTGAAGACTGTAATATGAATCTTGTAATAGATGAATTCCATATAATTATGAAATGCGACAAATATAAAGATTTACGAGTAGATTTTATAGAAAAAATTAGTAATCTGGAAGAAAATTTTAGTGATTTAGAAAGTCAAGAAAAATTCATATTTATAATGAGATTAAACAATAAAGATGTGATAGAAATTTTCTCTTCGTTCACCAAAAACATAATTGCAGAGAGGGATAATTTTTTAGATACTATGTAATAACAAAATAGAAATGTACAATCTTATGCTTTTGGTTTAATTTTGCAGTAGGTCGCAGATATAACGTACTATTACGTCATTTATTTTTAGGCATTCCATGTACCTCATTTACCTATTTTGTATGGCATGAGTTATAATTTATTTAGAAAAGTGCTGTATTATGTTTTATATATCTAAATCTTCGGATGTATTATGGTACATTATATTACTGTAAGGATTATTTCATGTTATTACAAAAAGAAATAAAGACTGTTTCTGCTGGATATAATTTTTCTTCTGTTTTGCTATAAGCACTGCATTGTAAATTGATTTATACGGTATATAATGTTTACAAATAGAATATTGATTTGTTACATTACATTGTAAATTGATTTATATGATATATATGTTTCCAAAGAGAATATTGATGTACATCAATGAAGTTTAATAAATACAATACATGAAATATATAGACTTTTGAAAACAGTTAAAGCGCATTAGGTTACTATGGGAAGAAGTATACTTTAAGGGGTATTTTGAAAGAGGCAAGACAGGTTAATTCTATGATGAAAATTGGGATATTTGTCCGTGATTTCGAAGCAAACACTGTTCATAGTTTTAGGTAGATTTTAGATAAATGAGAGTCTGGACTTAGTTTGTATTTGTCAGTTGTTAAGCGGCGGCTACCAGCTGGTATCATGGGTATACATTTGGAGGATGTCATTAAGATATTCAGTTGCCATTTTTTGTCACTCATTAATTTTTTTTCAAGGTTTCTTCAAAGATTACCTGCCAATAGACTTCAGTTCTTCGGTAAAAACAAATTCAACCTAGGGCGATTTCAGTAGCCTTGTTTCTCAACTATTGAAATATGAAGAGATTAAATCTTAAAAGCTTAATTCCATTTACCATATTCTGTCACACATGGATTTTCTTTCAATGTTTCTTCGGTAAAATCAAAAATAATTTAAAAAAATTCAACCTAGGGCAATTTCAGTAGCCTTGTTCCTCAACCATTTAAATGTGAAGAGATCATAATGACGAATTACGTAATCCAACTATGATTTCTATATAATGCTGTAGGATAATGAAATTGTCCTCGATTTGATTTTCGTTCCGATTTTATTTCCGTCATATAAAAAGTATGCACAATGAAAAAAGAAGAAAAAATAACAAAAATTCTATAAACGTATACATGAACAAAAACAGAAGAAAAAATCACAAGGTATTAAATTGAAAAACAAAAACAAATAAAAAGAGCAATAACATCAAGAACGGAAAAATGTACAACGAAATAAGCACCCCCCCCAAAAAAAACAAAAAAAAACAAAACAAAACAGACGGCTGGATAGCCCATTTTCAGCTGCACTTGCATAGTGCAGCTGGTCTTTCATGGGGACCAGAAAGAAAAGGAAGAAGAAGTAGTGTAAAAGTGCAAAAGGATGGGGGGGGGGGCAGAACAACACAAAGCAAAACAACAAGAATAATGGTATTTAAAGAAAAAGAATAAAAATTCCATTAAAGGGATCCGGTAACTTTGTCTCAGATTCTGAAATAAAATTATGGATTTAGCTCATGATGCAATGATAATTATAAACCTTTAGGTCAGTCAGGAACCCCATGACTTTCACAAGCCGATCGCCTCTCTGATTATCAAGATATTTATGATTGGAATTACACATTTTGAAAACCGTTCGCCTGACGGTTTTCATAACACTACAGTCTATTGGGGAAAACGAGTATGGTAAAACCGGTCACTCAAAGATTTTTTACTTTTTTGAGGCACTTCTTGATCATTTTGAAGCGCAATTTTTTTAGGGCTTCAATATTACACCATATCACAGACACTGATAACACGTATGGCCGTGTATCTCATATTTAACATTGTTAAACGATCCCTTTAAGGTCTCAAGGTATAAATCAATTTAGTTGTGAAAGAGATCGTTTGAATAAAGACAGATATGTGCAATTGCGAATAGTTTGGGTAGGTAGGTCTTGTTAGTTTGTCAAGAAGACATTTAACATTGACCAAATCAAAAGCCTTTTGTAGAACTACAAAAAACACTGCACCAGTAAACTTTCCCTCATCAATAGCTTCATCCATTCATCCTTGACCGTAATCAATGCCCTAGAATTAGAGTGGTTTGGACGAAAACCCGATTGCTCTACTGAAAGTACGTTGTTTCTATTCAAATGCTGCCTGCACAAGCTGTTTTGGATCACCTTTTCCAGGATTTTAGATGGACAAGAAAGTATGGAGATTGGCCTGTAGTCATTTGGAATTGATCGATCACCTTTTTTGTGTAAACGGGGACCTTTTTTTAACAATCTTTCAATACTTTGGAACTATACCTTGGATGATGGATTTGTTTAAAGTCGTTGCGATCGAGCTCGTATATCTTTGTGTACACGAGTATAAAAAAATTGATTTAGATCTGTATGGTACTTCATCTCTAAAATTCATTTAAAAAAATGAAACAATAAGTCATTTCACGTATTAAAGAAAAACAATTTTAATTACGTGTGTGAGGTAGATACTGAATTACCATTGTAAAAAATAAATAATTATGTTATTAGTCATGTTATTGGTAGCAATTTGTTTCGCCTTTTCAAAGCACTTTGAGTACTATTTCTTTGGTTAGTGTATGTATACATGTATATTTAGAACCTCTCATGTTTAAGATCAACAAGCCCGAGGACTGTTACAGAATGTGATACATTTATGGAAATGAATAAATATATGTCATAAAATCCGCATGCTTAAGTAACATAATAATTTGCAAAATGTCGTTGAAAGGTTAGTTTTGAGCATGTTATTTAAAGAGGCGATGCAGTTTTCTTAAGAATAGTAATCAAAGTAATGCATATAAATCATTATTAGAGATATATCCCTACCAACAAACAGGATATGGATGAGGATAGAAACAAAATCAAACAAAAAGATGAATTCGCTCTAGATCCTCTTTTATCTTGTATTATAATCACGTATACAAAAAATAGAGAAGAAAAAAACACGATTTGAAGCTATTCCCCGAGGAAATCACGTATATTTTTCATTGATGATAATTTCTTTTTAGGATTATTTTCGATCGCATCTAGAAAAACAAAAATCCATGTTTTTCCCCCATGTCATCTGCCTTCTATCCAATCTAGATAGGAATAGCCTACAATTACAGTCCTCTTGGGGTGAAGAGCATTACAAGTACAGTCATGTAGGAGCTGTCCACTCTATTTTCATGGTCATATCATCTCTGATTAACCCTACATTAACCTTTATTGCCCGAGATTATTTCTTTTCCTCTATTCAACTTCTTAAAACATGTCAAACAATAGTATATTGTCCATGTAAAGCGTATGAAGTAAATGATCTTGCAAGACGATAAAAATCTTAAGCCCTCATTGTGTTCATGACTTTGTCATTCCCTTGACCTTGGCATACTGAACCTACATAACCTACATACTTTTATATTTGTAAGGTAATTTAATTAATAGCAGGAGAGAGAGATAGATGGAGAGAGAGAGAGAGAGAGAGAGAGGGGGGAGAGCAAATAGACACACACACACATACACGCACACACCAATACGCCCATCCTCAGACATAACACATAGCTCGTGAAAAAGCTCATACATAGAATTACAATTTGTATGTATCTTCTTCGTATAATTATTTCCATTAATAGTAGTATCACTAATAGTTTTAGTATTAGTATTGTTATCATCATTATTATGATTATTATTATTATCATCATTAGTAGTAATATTATTAGGATTTAGGAATAAGAATTTGAGATTCAGGTTCCATAAATGTTTACATACATCTTATGTACTTCCATACACCTTTAACATAACTTTGTTACAATCAAACAATTCTTTATTCTTTATTCTTTGCCCTTTTAATTGTCTTTGACTCTCAGCGCTGAAGATACACATTAGTGATTCGACTTCTTACCAACTACAGCAACACTTTCATGGAACATTCAAGATAGCTGAACGAGGAAACATATCAATTAAGGTAAATAAGATTCATGTTTTTATGAATGATCGTCGCGTTCACGGTTGAGGTTGAAATTTAATCCATATCTGAAAATCACAAAAATTGGCCTCCACTATTAATGGCGTAGCAAATCACTGTGATCTTTGCTCTTTTTTTTTTAATGATTTTTTTTATAGTCACGATGTGTTCCTCACAACACAATATATATATTTAATATTATAACAATCATCTTGGACCCCATGGAAGAAGAGTCTTGTCTCTATGGCTTGACTGAACTGGGTGTCCTTCCGACTTCATTATTGTCTTCTTCTGTTTTCCCTTTGTATATTATATTTGTTTTTAAATGTCTATTTATATTATGATATAAATGTTCTGTATATATATCATGTTTTTATTGTAAATTCGGAGAATAAATAAATAAATCAAATCAAATCAAAATCAAATAAAAACAAATAACGTACTTCATTAGTAAAGTTACTCAACTAATAACATAACGAGATAAATAGAAGGTAGAAACGGGTAGAGAAAGGGGAGAGAGAGAATGTTTTAAGTTTAGGTGTAGGGTCAAGGACGGGTACAACATTGGGTCGAGGGATGAAGTTAAGATTTAAGTTACCGTTACGAATCGACCGTTGAGCATTGTCGCCTGAGCATGAAGAATATCTGTGGCTGGGTTGAAAACCGGAAGGAAATAGAGGATTAAGAAAGTGTATGTAAAAGTTATACAACTTCTTTAATAATCTTTCTCTATGGGTATGTTAATGAAATCATAAGTAACAGCGTTTGAGGATTTAGGCTATTATGTACTCTTCCGCGAGCAAGTGAAATGAAAGCAAGCAAAATTATAACCGTTATACTATGGCAGTAGCTGATATGATAGGGCCTATTGCCATGGTTATTCGCGTATGTTTTTATATAATTTAATTCAAGTTATGTGATAGTCCGTCATGTTCATCTATTTACTTCTTATTCGTTCGACTTTGCTTGGATCACGTCCCATTATCATCTTAATCTAACCTTCCTTCGTGTTTGGCTACAATATTTGCTCAAAAAGAAAGCCAATTATGACTTAGCCAAACAATTGCTAAGTGCCAGCGATACATCTAGTCATTTTCTTTCGTAAACACCCTCTGGCAGGTGTGAGTTTAAATATATTATGTGAGTTTATCTTGTTTGCACACATTTAGCATGAACTGTACATCTGAATACATTCAGATGTATTAGAGTTTAGGCATAATAATATAATACGACTGAGACAATTTAAAGTATTATTGTACATTGTTGTTTACACAATCTTGCAAAATAAAACTTTCGATTTTTTGCATCTCCCCGTACAGGGTAAAGGAGCGATGAAGACTTTCTGGTTACTGGATCGCATCCCACCATTCACACCCCGTAAAGCACATGTAGAATGGGAACATGATAATCCACCATCCCATTATCCTTCAGCTCGGTCTATAACTCCATCAGTGCCTGGTACATCTCAACCAGCTTTATCAAACAGACGTCCTCCTAGCCGTCCGGTCACACCCATCTACCAACCCTCTCACCAACCAGCCTCACCCGGAAAGTGCCTGGACACGCCCATCACTGACTTATCCTTCATTAATAATGTCACGTTAGATGCCATCTCTTCTCCTGCACGAGATGGCACATCTCATCCTTTGTCACCTAGCAACGGAGAGTCCAGATCTCATCCCGTTACACCTAAGAAATCCCGCAACACACCGAGTAACCCAGTCACTCCTAGTAAAGTTTTAAAGTACAACCCCTTCATCTTATGCACTGAAGCACCACCTAACGAATAAACCCTAATGACGTTCCTGTGTTTATATTGCCTTCGCTACTGCAATCACTTCGAATCAATGACCAGATGACGTTGAAAATAACTCTATTTTGTAAAATAATGTACTTTTGTAATATTTCGACCTTTTATCGTGTTAATTTAGTAGGAGATTGCCTTCACGTAGAGTCATTATCATAAAGTAAGTTTCTGATGTTTTTTCTACTTCAAATTACACACATATGATAATGACATAGTCATGAGTATCTTCTATATTTAAACATGGCACTATGTGCCTTATGCCTAAGTGTATATAGACTAGAACGACCTCCAATAATCAATCGCAATGTAAGGTTTAATTTCATTTCGTGAATTGCATTTAAAAAATCGAACTCTAGTAGTATGCACCAGGCCTCTAAGCTATCTACCAACTCACGAATCACTACGGATTGCCGGCAGCGCTCTCTTTTTAATCAATTTGAATGAAGAGAGACAAAGGCTGCAATTTAATCAATCAATACGAGTTACTTTCGATTTACGTCTCTCGCTTGCACGATCTTTAGGTTTCCTCTAGCTCATTTTATCTTTATTTGGTCCACCCTCATTTTTGCCTTTTTCACAAAAGTGTAATAGGCTATTGCCGTTTTGCACATTCTTACTATTTGAATTTCCTTTAGTTTTGCAAAGTTTAGATCGATTCGTCACAGTAACTTATTATTAGAATTGCACTCTTGTCAACTTTATTAAGAATATAATGTGTTTATTCTGTTTTGTTCAATAAAGCCTTTTTTCTTTTTCTGGAGGAATGGGAAGGATACTTGAAATCTACATACATGCACTATAAATACATAAAAACATTAACATACATTAAGCGACCCCCCCCATGCCTACCAACCATATTCATTATCAGGTCATTTCAATGGCGATATTAGGTATATTTTCAAAACTTGTAGTCTTCCATGACAAGATAATTTTGCCATGTTAGGTCGACATTTGACTATTTTTTTATTAGAAATGTCGGATCACTTTTACCGAGAAGCAAAAACTGAAAATAAAATATACCGTCGGGAATTGTTCTCAGTTTTCAGAAATTGCCGACACAACCTTGTGAAGAAAGTCTTTTGACGTTGATATTTATCGAAACCTATACAAACACAAAATAATGGTACGAAATTAGGTGGCACATTTATATTTTTCCATTTGCTGTCGAGGTAAATATATCATCGAAAGATTTGCCGACAACTATGGATTGCCGACATAAGTTTTGTGAATGACCTATCATTAATGTTAAACACTTAAGAGCAAAGGAGTGTCATGGAAACCTACTCGAAGAAACTGTATCTAAATAAAATATACCGTCGGGAATTGTTCTCAGTTTTAAGAAATTGCCGACACAACCTTGTGAAGAAAGTCTTTTGACGTTGATATTTATCGAAACCTATACAAACACAAAATAATGGTACGAAATTAAGTGGCACATTTATATTTTTCCATTTGCTGTCGAGGTAAATATATCATCAAAAGATTTGCCGACAACTATGGATTGCCGACATAAGTTTTGTGAATGACCTATCATAAATGTTAAATACTTAAGAGCAAAGGAGTGTCATGGAAACCTACTCGAAGAAACTGTATCTATACAAAGTGATTTTTTTGTTGGGTTTGATTTGTAAGTTCCCAATTACCTGCAGATGAAATGTGTCATAATATACGACAATATATTCGGTGATAATATGGTATATTAGAAGGAGACAGTCATTGAATTTAGCCTCAACGTTACCTCAAGTCACTTCTCAAAATAGTGTAGGCTAAGGTTGGCAATATTCAAGTTCAAAATATTTTTGATGTGGGTATTCACTTATTTTACAGATTTTTTTTTTCTTCAAAATTTGGGCTCATTATCATGTGTGTAGGAATTGGGCGTCTAAAAGAATGGTGTATGATTGTCGGAGTGTTCGCATCCAGGATTTTTCGAGTGTAGACCTCTGTTGAACTTTTTTTCCAACTGGAAATGAGCTATACAAAGATTATCAAAAACAAATTATGAAAAGGGTTATAATGAAAATATTATCGGCGTGTTTCGTAAGCAGAGGGTTAGCCAACGGAGTCTCCAAGACAAATACACCCTGAGTGTGGGAAGTTGGATGGAGTGTGGGTGTTTTTGTGTGCGCGTGTGCGGTGCAGGTGTGCGTGTGTGTTACAGTGCTTACTTCTCCCTTTTCTCTTTTGCATCCAATACAAAAACGATATTGTACCTTTTTGTAAGAGCACGGGACGGGCATTATGTGTTCAGTCCTGACTACAGTTAATTCACAATCCATGGTCATTACTTGTAGTCGATGTGGGAACAAATTTAGAAGTAGATGTGTCTGAAATTGAGCGATGTGTCTAACGTTTTCTAAGCATAGGCATAATGTTGATGATATCAACGTGAGAGTACCCCAAGTACCTCTATTCAGCAAGTGCTCCTTTATTTTGTGTAGCTCATTCAGTTTATCTACAAGAACGTTACAATAGCGAACAAGAGATATACAACAATCTTACAGTTGAGTATACATAATACTTACAAAGCCCTTGATATCGCTTTAGCTTAGTCACTTCCCCGTGCTTCTCATGGGTTCATGATTAGCTCATGGATTATATTGACTCAAGATGTCTTTTGGGATTATTGTTTAAGTGGCCCAAACATTTTGAGAGATGTTTGCGCTTTTAAACAGCAAGGAAATATCCTGTATCAATTGGATGACATACCGGAAGAGAAGCGGGTAGGCAGTTGAAAGTGTTCTGTGTCGACCTTAAAGTTCTCTTTTTGCTCTTGTTTATGTTTATCGATTGGCTTATATTAACCTATGTTCTGAAACACACTTTGGGTGTATGAAAACACAAAATCTTACACATCTCCATGGAAAGCAATTTCTGCACACCTACACCCTGGCTGCATGCACAATGGGTAGGAACATGAGGGTGTAGGAAATAATCCTTAAAAAATGTTTTGTATAAAGAAGTTAAATGTTTTAGGGTACCCCCAACTTTTAACGTTCCAATACCCCTGAAGCTCAACAAACCCTAAACCTGAGTGTCGGGTTGCCATATACCTAGTGATATATTTGCGAATGAAGAGAAAAGAAATCTAGTATGAGTATATTTGATTATCACAATGATATCAACGTACTGCTTACTTGCGATCGATTTAATCGGAACTACTACAATCCTGTCAATAAGTAACACACGTGTGATAATCAATTATGGTTCTAACACGCGTTGTATCGTCTCTTGTGCCAATAATAAATGGATTTGTGCCTTTTTGTACTTTAAACTATATACCATCGACCTAAAGAGACGAATTTCTGTGTCTGTCATGTACCTTCATGCTTTATCTTCCATTTTCTCTATCTTTCTTTCTCTCTCCCCCTCTCTTTCTCTCTCTTCTCTGCTAGAAAGGTTATCATTTGTTATTATTATTATTTCCATTATCTGTAAATTGCTTGTGTATACACCTATGTTACAGACAACCTTTTGTTTTGTAGCGTGGGGGGGGGGGGGGGTGTAGGATAATTACCTATATACATATATTTTCTAATTATATTACAGAGCACTTGTAACTTTTTTTTTTATTCTCAAGGGGTCCATAAAATACGAGCCATGTTTTTTTTTATTAGACTCCTTCACTATGTTTTACCACTGCGCCAATCTTAAATGATTTATTTTAATGTATAATCATTTATAAAATGTTTAGTTTATATATTATGTTATTCAATTTGTATATTGCTTATTCATTTGATTAAGTTATATCATGTGGAAAATAAAGAAAACCTTCAAAGCTTGAAACCTTAAAACAATATATAGAACAAAGTAGGCTAGATGTGAGAAAATCCCTAAACTTTATACTCATGTGTAACTGTACATAATTTAAACAAGCATAATTTTGTGTGTGCGCCTCTCTCAGAATTACGATCGAAATATATGTATTTTTAAATGAGAATATATTTGTGTGGTCCTTAGGTGCCTTCATGTAACAATGTGCGTATATATAAGAGTAGTATTCGTATCACTATTATTTCGTACACAAAAATAGCAAATTATATTTTGTGATGAATGTATTTTTTTCTTCTGAGGCTTGTGCATTAATTCGAATCTAAGCGAATTATTACTATCCACAATATAGCCTCAAAAGAGATCAGCAAAGACGTGACAGATTATAACCACCGTATTCACAATTACTATGTACAAGAGTTGATCAACATTTTCAGTGCCAAAAGAGATTAACATAATGGAAATTGGTATATATTTATAATATACACTTGTATTTTAAACATTTATATTATTTTGTTCGATAAGTGATTGTTCCTTCCGTAAATACACGAATCTAAATTGATTTTTAGTTTAGTCGATGCAGTCTCCCCCATCATAAATTTATTGGATGCTTTTCATATTCGTTAATTACGTCAAAGACATAGCGATCTCAATTTACAAAAACTCATAACTTTGTTATGATTGTTTTCTTTGATTTTGTTCAAACTTTCACCAACCTGTATTCTTATTTTTGTTTTCACTCAACTCAACTTGTTTATAAAGGTTGGATTGTCAATTGACACGAATATGTGATATAATTATCATTGGAACAAGCGGTCTAGGTTGATATTGAATTGTAATATTTTTAGTGCTCCTCAATAATTCGCTAGCTTTAAACACGTACAATTTTCTGGTCAACGTTGTGTTAGACCTTAATTTGTGAATAGTATGATGCAGCACGAAAGATGGGTTTAGTATAATCATCGATATCCAAAACTATACTTGCAATATTGATGTATTTCAAACAGACGTGTTAGAGCCTAAGTAGGTGAGATTTGCCTTTTTTATGACATTATCTTTGTTGGAATAATCACGAAGTGTCTCAAATACCTGTGTACAGTCGTGGTTGCCCCCAATCCTTGTCGAGAACGTGTGCAATTAGTACAAAGTGCAATATGAAAGGGTGCGAAAGTGAATCAATAACTCTGTCATATCATAATGATGCTCTAGCGATATACTATGTCACGTTAATGAATTAATCACGTACTTGGTTTTTATTCACTCGTATCATTTGGTCGAGGGGCTATAGCTCATGAACACAATTTAATTTGTTGAAAAGATAATAGTTACTGTCATGACTTCTGTGACATTTCTTTGTACTTACAATACGAGTTAGAATCAATGTCAATGCCGAATCCACGATTATGCGGGGAAGGGGCATCGGCTTTCCTACCATTAAAGAAGTTAGTCGATTTTCATGTTTTATCCTTTCTCCTTATACTAGGGGGCCACTCCCTCTAGATTCACCCATCACCCATGTGGACGAACATAAACCACATTAAATATTGTCATTCATTTCGGGAGCTATACTCTAGATTAGCACATTTGTTGGAAATTAAAGCTTCTGTTTATGATCAAGAGAAAGAAAATTCAAGTGCATGTACCCTTTATTTCCTCCAACCATAATTGGCTGAGATGTATTTGTCACGGTGCCATTAGTGACGAATGGGAATGATGTTTGGCGATGAATAAAATACATAATAATAAGCAACCCCATTACATATTTTTCTTCGTTGCATCATCGCCATTCATCAATATCGGCATCGCAACAAAACCCAGGCAATAATGGTTCCATGAAATAAAGTGTACGTGTACTTTCATGTTTGATTGTCAACTTCGCCAACACAGATTCCATCTCACAAAGGTGTCCTTTTCTAAGATGAATCCATTAGAATGGATAGCCTTGTCATGCGTTTCAATTGACACGAATATGTGATGTAATCATAATTGGAACAAGCGGTCTAGGTTGATATTGAATTGTAATATTTGTAGTGCTCCTCAATAATTCGATAGCTTTAAACACGTACAATTTTCTGGTCAACGTTGTGTTAGACCTTAATTTGTGAGTAGCATGATGCAGCACGAAAGATGCGTTTAGTATAATCATCGATATCCAAAACTATACTTGCAATATTGATGTATTTCAAACAGACGTGTTAGAGCATAAGTAGGTGAGATTAGCCCTTCTTTATACCATTATCTTTGTTGGAATAATCACGAAGTGTCGCATATACCTGTGCACAGTCGTGATCTGGCGTAACTAATCGCCCCCAATCCTTGTCGAGAACGTGTGCAATTATTACAAAGTGCAATATGAAAGGGTGCGTAAGTGCAATCAATAATTCTGTCATATCGTAATCATGCTCTAGCGATATACCATGTCACGTTAATGAAGTGATCACGTACTTGGTTTTTATTCACTTGTATCATTATGTCGAGGGGCTATAGCTCATGAACACAGATTAATTCGTTGAAAAGATAATAGTTACTACAGCTAAAGTCTGTCATGACTTCTGTGACATTGCTTTGTATTTACAACACGAGTTTTAATGCTAGTCATCAATGCCAAGGATTTCCTTACCATTAAAGAAGTTAGCTGATTTTTCATGTTTTACCCTTTCTCCCTATATAGTAGGGGGCTGCTCCATCTAGATCCACCTACAGTGTATCATCCATGTGGACGAGCATAAACCACATTAATTATTGTCATTCATTTCGGGAGTTATACTCTAGATAAGTACGTTCGTTAAAAATAAAAGCTTCTGTTTATGAAGAGAAATGCAAATTAAAGTACATCGTGTACCCTTTATTTCCTTGAACCCAATTGTCTGGGATTTGTTACGATGTCACTAGTGACGAATATAGCAATGATGTTTGGCGATGAATAGAATACTTAAAAAGCAACCCCATTATCTTCATCGCATCATTGCCATTCATCAATATCGGCATCGCAACAAAACCCATGCAATAATGGTTCCATGAAATAAAGTGTACGTGTACTTTCATGTTTGATTGTCAACTTTGCCATTACAAATTCCATCTCGCAAAGATGTCCTTATCCAAAACACATTAATAAATTAATGACTATGGTGTTGTTCGCTCAACTTTATAGTCAATATATCAAAATCATTGGAATCCATTCGTTTGTCATTTTCAGTGGAGAAAATAATCATTATTTGTGCTGATTTTTCAGGTACACAATTTAATTTATCTGATAGCGATCGTTGTAATAGCAATGTCGATAACATTAGGCCTCATCATGTTAGTAATAATTATGTAAATACAGACCCAATGTAATGAAAGGGAAGGAAGAAATTGTAAACTTTCATCAATACGTTTTCACTAGAAATCACCTTCCTCCCTTCACAAAAAAACAACAAGTTGAATTAACAATAACTAAATATATAAGCAAATAAAGTATTAAGAAATATAGAAGTAAAACAAAATAAATGCGTGTACCAAGTTCAATCGGTGACTTTTTCATCAACAAAGACCATCACAGATGTATTCGAAAATCACCATAGAAACCATCTTGTTTAAGACGATACTATATATAGTGTGCAATTAGTAGACTGGGATCAATGTTGAATGCGTTAAACTAAAATCTAAAAGCCGGAAGAGAGGCAGAGATACTTCTTCTTCTTCGCTTCAACTACAGGCCACCGTCGGGTGTATTCAATGGAAAGTGGTTTATTGCTCTAGTTTTTACATCGACCTTAAAGTTCTCGTTTTGATTTTCTTGATGTTTGATATCTGACCTATATATATCTCTAGTCCTTTATTTCCCTCGCTCACATTACAACTTATCCAAAACTATTTTCTTCTATCAAACCTCTTTACTCTCTATACCACTTTGTTCATTACGCATCAAACCCTTTGTTGAGCACATTGACGTTATGTAAATATCAGAGAATAATTATTGTAGTGCCTCTTGTATACAAAATGTGATAATACCTGTGTATAGTGTATATAATTATTTTGTACATACTTCGAAGTATTTATGAATATTAAATTGACACACTGTTGTAAATTTTGGGAGTACAAATACTTGTCCATTTTGTTGTTTGTTTTTTCAAATATTATTGATGACTAGCAGGTTGATGAATTCATATCAATAACACTGATCGAGATATATGTGAATTGACGAATTGGAATGATGGATTAATACTCTGAAAGAAAGGTTTTAGACAAATTAATGAACAGTAAAAAGTAAAGAGAAATAATGCCAGATTTAAAAAGGAAGGGGGAAATACAAATACTCAGTGTATCAGAAAATATGCCGTTTATTACAAAATTTAGGGAAGGAGCGATAATTCCAATGAAAGTCATATCCATTTTTTAAAAAGATTTATGATTGTCTATTTTCTCCTTTCTTAATTAGTCTATAATATGACCATTATACTGTAAATCTAGTAATACATTAGTAGAAGTTTGGTTGAATTTAGGAATCATGTATGCTATATGATCCATTGCATCTATGTAATATGTACAATGGTAGCCCTATCATGTATGGTTGTATAATAATACTGGTCATAAAAGAATGATCAAATCTATCGATAACTGGTTTCCAATGTAAAACTGTACACATTATGAATCATCTCATATAATATATACAAATCAATATCATTTCATTAATCATCTGCATACTCTCCATCACACAGACAATATTAAAGCAATACAATGTGACACAGAAAGACCCTATCAACAGTGTCAAAGAAAATACATATATTTAGCAAGTGGCTAGATAACTAACTGTACCACATACTAATCATAAATTTATTATCACAATCTTTAGATTAGGTTTGAATAATAACAAAACTAATATCATACTAAAACAAAGCTATAACTCAAAGCCCTAGAGCAAGAAAAGAATTAATAACAAATATTAAATAATTAATAATGAAATGTTTAATTGCTACTTAAAATAAGTACTTGGCACATTTATTCATATTTGCAAAAGTATTTACTCCAATTTCATACAAAAAAATAAAAATGAAATAAAATCTTAATTGTTGAAATTCTATGTATGAAATAGAGCAGTTTTCCTAGCATAATCTCAAGTCAGGCCCAATCGAATTCTATCATGTCATTTATTCATCATCTTTCAAAAAAGCAATATAAAAAGAAAAGTCCTGAACAGCATTTTAGAACTCAAGTCCACTGACAATAAAGAAAATCTAAATGACATTATTTTAATGTACAAATATCTGAAATGGGCTTATGATATGGTTGTACAACACATCCTCTTGCGACAATCGCTTCGCATAGATTTTGTGCACTTACTGAATTCTATATGTCAACCCTAGACCCAACGACATACCCAACTCCATCTCTAACACTGAACCTAACTTAAAACCCAATTGCAACCCCTAACTCTTACACTACACCTTTGACAAAATAAAGTCTGGAGCACTTGTCGCCGCGGCATATGCCAGAGCGCCTAAGGTATATGTAAAACATACATTAGATTCCTTTTGGTTACTGTGCTACCGGTGTTCTTTGTATTCTGCCTCTCCATTCATGGTATTGTTACATCGAGATGATACATAGATTATTTTAATATGAGTTGTACAAGAATTGCACACAGTGGTCATTATTATGGTCACATAGACCTTTGAATGTAAGTTTTGCTCACTGAAACATAAAGATTTATCTACCATTTTACTGATAATGAATGAAATATCTGAGCACTCATTACAACCTAATCCTAACAATACAGACAAATATGAGTGCAAAATGAAATACACCCAATATACTTTTTATGGCAAATACTCTATCAAAGCAGTACCGGTATGTGTTAATGTCAGAAGTAGTATACTCTCATAGTCAGACGATCAAATCTTTGTAAATTATGGAATGAAACATTTGAAGGAAACTTTTTTATAAGACTTACTATCTAAAATAACACAGCTACAGAGTAAAATAATAAATAACATAAAGAGTATTTGACTTAGGACTAACAATATTACCTCCACATGTACATGTACCGGTATATGTTACTGTATGTACATGTGTGACTAAAATATTAGTCTTAATTGAAATATATATAAACCCATATTAAAGATTTACATTTCTACTCCTAACAAGAGAACAACAGAGGTATAATACATTGTTTCTAACATTGTTAACAATTTACCTATGATATCATAACTGTGAGCTTGATACCTTGATCAGGTTAGTCAGAGAAGTACATTTGGCAAATTTTGAAAGGAGGTCTGTAAAAATTAATTAATTGCTTGTAAAGAGCTGATTTATGTTTCATTTTGAGGACTACCAGTATCACTAAAGCAGTTGAAATATAGAAAAAAATAGGTGTTTGATTTCAAGGATGGAAATAAATGCTAACCATAAAGGCTCATCTAATCACATAAGATTAAAAAAGTAAACATTATTATGTAATGTACATCAAATACACCAAAAAGATTGTCCTTAACTTATCACAATTGAATTTGTTCACATTATTATGGGACAAATTATCTCATATGCAAGAAACTTATCAGTTTTCCTGCAACTGACCTATGAATGATTACTATAAATTAAAAATATAGATAAATATGCTTTAAGCTTGTACATTTTTCATGTTGAAGCAAAGAGATAGAGAAGTCCTTTGGCATAGCTGATAATCTCTGAACCACCTAACTTACTCTCTCCATAAAATCTATCCACAAATGTGATTGGAACCTGAAAATATAAGAAAAAGAAAACAAATTGTGAAGTATTTACTTTGTATGTTGAATACGCCCCAAGAATAAGCAATGTAAAATTGTTCGAAAAAATTCTTACACGTTTTCTTGATGTTGTAATTTTGGACAATAAAAACAACCTCATTTTGGGATCATTTCATTTGGACGCTCTGTCTTCATGTTCAAACTAGCTGGAAAATATTTTAAATAAACTATGTTTGCCAATATTTTTAGAGGGAATAAAAATGCTTCCTGGCTAAGCTCAACCAAAGAAGTTGGGAACAATACATTCAGGTGTGCATTAATAATATATTGTACATCACGGATGAGTACTACATTATATGGATAATAATTTTAGAAAGAGTCATACAAATTTGAAAAAAAGTATCAAAACAAAAAAAATATATATTTCTGTAAACTAAAATTCAGATAGAAACAACCTTAGAGATGCCAATTGAAGGTTAAAATATTTGAGGGAGTCATTTTCATAATATAAAAAAATAAGATTACATAACATTATATGAGAGATATAATGGCAGTGATATGTACTATACAAATTCAGTATCATTACTCATTACTAATATCATTTAACTAAAAATATTGGGGGGTGTTACTTGAAGAATGTTTTGTATCATTATTCATTCAATGTTGTAAGCTAGTGCTGCAATATGATTTACAGCTTAGATCTAACTTATTGAATGGTGCAAGTGATTGAATGAATAATGAAATACATGATATTGTAATCCTTACCTCTCCTATTTTGTATCCAAACTGCCTTGCTCTGACAATCATCTCCATCTGGAACACATAACCCTTAGAGACGCAGGAATCAATCAATCGCTGGAGGACTTCTTTCTTGTAAAGACGGAAGCTACCTGTCAGGTCAGAGGCTCCGGGTCGCAGAAGGACTTGGGCCAAGAAATTAGCTCCACGGCTTTGGAGAGAGAGAGAGCAGTATTCATCAGTTTATCAATTTATGTCATTTGAGATTCCTTGAAAGAATGTGTAGATTTTTAATCTTTTTAGACTTATTATCTTGAGGAAAGGACTCACAAATGCATAATGAAAGAAAGCTTAGAATTTGTATTTTAGTATGACCACAGGCAATTGCAAGGAAGCTTTGGGCCAACTACATTGCTACAACACTGTCCTTTGGCAACACATTGATCTACATTTGCCACTCTCCACCCACGTGTTAAATGGGTACCCGGTAGGATGCGAAAGCTAATGTGCTTAGATTAGCAAGTATGCGCTTGTACAAATGACGCCTGGCTGGAATGCTCCCCAGGGAGTGGAGAATGTGCATACATTGTTTGCGGGTAAGCCTGAATCCGATGACCAGGGTAATATATAAATCTGTAAAGCGCTTTGAGAGGGCCATCGGTCCTGAAAAGCGCTATATAAGAACTAGCTATTATTACTTGCAGTCTAAGCATTTGCACACAAAAGTAATATGGACTGAATTCCACTGAATGTAGTATTTGATACTGGTACATGGAACTCAAAGAAATTAGACAGTCAGTAGAGGGCAAGTACAATTTCAAAGATGGGAATGAATTTGCCATCACATGGAGAATTCATATTCTAAAAAGAGGTGCCAAGATGTACAGAAGAAGTTCAGAAAGAGAAGGAAAGACAGACTGTATATTTTGCAGGAGTAAATTAAAAGAAACATTTGAAACAATAACCATCAAATCATTTCAATTGAAAGTTCAGCTTATCTGAAGCAACACACCGTCCATTGTTTGAATTTTACCTGATGATTTTCCTTTTCAAGTCCCATCCATAGACGCCACCATTGCCTGCATACCTGGTACCAGAGACAACATCACACTGTTCTTCCTTCTGTAATCTGTCAACACAAGAGGCACACAGCAACAAATTTATTCTACATGTGGGTTGTTCAAAGACAAATTTGTACCTAAATGGATATTAAGGAGACTCAGTCTTCATCTAGTCACAGGGAAAGTTCAAGATATTTTGTCCCATATACATACTAATCTTCAATGTCAGTAATTCTGATAATCATATAAAGATCACAGCCTCTTCTAAACTTTGGATCATACCAAGTACTACGGAAAAAGTACTCTTTTGATGTCGATTGTTGTTCAGTTTCCATTTTGGTTATTGCTGTTATGCATGGATTAGCAAATGGCTAAATACCTTTGAATTGCTCCATCATACTTGTATAAAATGGAATGAAAATGTCAATCTCCTCCAACAACGATGATGTGTATCATTAAAGAAACATGTTTTCCAATGTAGCAGACTAGGAATAATGCAAAAGTTTGCTGGAAATAAAATAATCCTGGATAAAAATTTGTCAACACAGTTTCCTGGAAGTAAGAGAGGACAATCCTTCCTACATTTTGAGCACTGGGTCAAACTTTGAGTGGTTAAATGTTTAACTTTCAGGCTATGCAACTTTTCAAAACAAAAACTAACAGAGGAAGACATAACCAGTTATGCTTTAATGCCACACTAGTCTTATTTTTCACTATCTATTAGAAGTGGAAAAACAAAATTATAGCATAACATTCAAGCAAGCATTTATAATACAGTTGAGTGTTTAAATGATGTTTTAATCAATTCTCATTTGCAAAGGCTACTCAATAAACTTTCCACATAAAATCCTAAGATATATACCGGGAAGGTACATTCACAATCTATTTTTATATCTTAAACCTTCCATAATTGATATGTAAATACTAAATAGAAATTTGTTTAAATAGCATTTCATAGTATAACCTCAAAAACAACTTACCTGATGAATTCAGAAATGAACTTTGGCTGAAAAAACAAGGAGATGAAAACGAAAGATAAACTTGTTGTACATAAGAGCAATGCAATTTTTGTTGTTTGTGTAAAGGCAAAGAATTCAAGTCAGTGTTGTGCTGCAGGTGATTTGCATCACTTTTAAAACAAATTACAATTTTACTGAAAATGTTTTTTGAACTTTTTAGTCTGATCAGAGCTTTTTAGTCATTGACTGCGAGCCTTTGCATTGTTTTCTTTTCTTCTTCAATTCATTACAAACACGGAAAAGGTCTGTGTGAGGGATTCAGTGGAATTGTATTATTCTTGAAGTATCCTATTTGTCCTAGACGAAGTTACTAATCAGTTTTATTCAATTCTAGTAACTAAAGATACTTTGAGAGAACACACATCAGTGCTATTTAACAGAAAGGACAAATCTGTTTTTCACTTCAAATATGCTGTTCTCATATTAAAATTCACCTCCCCCCCCCCCTGTTGGATATTTATCTACCAGTAACCATATCTTCAAATATGAAGGCATTACAGAGCAAAATTGTTTTGTGGCTGTGTTTTTCCATCATAGGTGTTTTTGTTTGTTTTTGTTAATAGATAATTAATATTTCTTTTCATGCCTGCATCCTATATCAGCACTGTACATTGCCTTGATAATACACTATAACTATAACTTTCAAAAGGTAAATATTATTATAATATTATAAATGAATTGATGCCAAATGTGCCTGGGAGGAGAACAGTGATCTTAATCAACATGAAATACATATCAATGAAATAAATGGCTTTGCTGCATTAAAAATTATAATTTTACAATTGCTTTTCATATCTGAGGGATAATGGATGGCAGAAGACATTGTATCTTTGGAAGATATCACCCTTAAATTGTATAAATTTTGATGAGAGAAAAGCAACTTACATGGTGAGAAAGATCAGCATCCATTATGATGATGAAGTTTCCTGTAGCATGCTTGATACCATGGATGTATGCAGTACCTGGAATCAAATCACAGTGACTTCAATTACAGAAGGTAATGACATGACAATTTGCCTAATGTACAGATAGAGCACTAATGATTCTTTTTTCTTTTTTTACTTTACTTAACTTTTTACTTTACTTTTTTTTTACTTTAAACTTTAACTGACTCATAAGAAATTGTATTTCATCCTCTGACTTTTACACAAAATACCTGACAATAAATTTTTTCTTCACATCACTGTAATTCTACCATTACCTGCACAAATATCAAGGAATTTCATTTTGTTTTATTGTTGAAAAAAAAACCCTGTGTTGTCGATTAATCTACCTCTTGATGAAGTATATAAACATTATAAAGCGATGCATGTATGTCATTTTTAGACATCCAGCTACTCTTATACATGTGACTGGAGCTACGAGAAAATTATATGGTATAATGGTAAGGTGTTATCACACAAGATGTATGTACATGATTAAACAAACATTGGTGGTCTATTCTTATACCCCTAAATCACATTGATCAAAGTGAAACTCACCTAGTCCAAGTTTCTTTGCTCTTGGTCGCAATACCTGAAGAACAAAACACAAATGGTTACAATCAATGAGATTCAACTAGTGGTGTGCTATTTTTTCTGAAAGCAATTTCCTAAATCACATTCACATTAAGTCACAACTAAGTGTAAGCACACTCTTATATTTGTCGCTTTTATTGCACATTCACTTTCTATCAGATCTATTTATTTGTTCAATCATAAATATTTGACTATACTTAAACATTTTACCAATATAATCAGATTCAAATTAGGAACTCACAAGATGGGCTACACTTTGTAGAAATTTACACAATGGATACTCAAAATATCTATGGATTTTCTACTCCAATGAAAAATAAAAGTATGAACAGAAAATTAGTCATAGTTCAAAAGATTAAATCCAATGAATTTTATATGTAAAATAAGATTGAAACTTGAAACTCCTAACAATGTAAATCAGATATTTCTTACATTACAATTAAATAAATCTAAAATCAATGGAATGGAAATTCAGACAAAATAAATAGAAACACTTACAATTTTGTCACTTCCGTATATATCTTGCAATTGCTTAGCTACCTCCAGTGTACCGTCAGGACTTCCATCGTCGATAACAATAATTTCATAATCATGACCACTGTAAATAAAAAAGAAATATTGATTATACCCTCTAGTCTATTTTTCCTCTTAAAAATCTGATATTTAGAAACTATTTCATAACAAGAATCTAAATGAAACAAACAATATTTAAAACGTGTAATATTAATTTCTTTGCAAAGGAAAATTTCAATTTATCCCCAAAAACATGAAACGTTGAAAAGCTGAATTGTTATTGGCATTTGTTGAACTTGGACGTAACTTTGTGTTCGATCAGAATCATGCAGTTAGTTACAACAAATACAAGTGCAGCGTTTGCAGTCAAAGCTACGTGCCTGCTATCTGCTCATATGAATAAAGCTTGCGCTTGTACACACATGGAAAACGCCATTAAATTCAACAGCAACAACAAGTCAACAACAACACACTGCTACAGAAGTGGACGTGCGTGGCCGTGGGGCGCATGCATATGATAATGCATACGCACATAGACAAGTCGGGACCATAGAGATATATAACTACTAACACACAAATGTTATTAAGTATATATCTCTATGGTCGGGACGCGCGTTTCCGTTTTACACCCTGCCCTAGGCTTTTCGGCAAGAAATTACACGAAACATGCTGATCCGAAGTCTAAGTTTGTTTATATCGACGTCAAGAATAGCGAAGCCAAAGCTTATGTACAATTTCAATTGGGGATGCGAGGGTCTTCTTGTTCAAGACGGTTTTCCCGATATATTATTGTTTTGTTATCGCTGGGCTAAATTTTGCGAGCTGATCACGCATCCTCACGCTCTTAGAGTATTGCGTATTAATGGATAAAAATAAATGATACGAGTAGGAAGATCAACTAGTTAGTATAGAGAGTTAGCTAGCGCTACGTGACGTTTTCAGAGTTCTGGTGGTGTGCAGAGCGCCGAGGCAAGATGTGGACGACTAGACTTCGAATACCAGTCGGTTTGTAAAATTTTATTGGAGAAAAGCCTAGGGCAGGGTGTAAAACGGAAACGCGCGGTCGGGACCCAAAAATGGGTCTGTCTGGTCTATACGTGGGACTGAAGTAAAATATTTCGAAAGTTTTACTAGCATTTTCTTACCTCTCTGAAAATGATTTTACGATGAGCCAAGTGATTAAAGGAAGGTTTTCCTTCTCATTGTAGGTAGGGAGTAAAATTGAGTACTTATCAGCTTTAGATCGCGGCATTTTTCCCGTAAAAATGTTGACACGTCGTAGGGCAGAAATGATCAAATGAATAATACTGTATCTTTGAGATACAAATTGAAGAGGGAAATTTACTGCGGTATGTTGCGTAATAATTATAGAAGTATTATTGGGAAATATTTAATTGATATGAGCCGAATTCCCAACATATTTTTCTTTTTTCTGTTTTAATTTGTTTTTTTTCTCCAACTCTCTCAATATTATTATTATCTATATTATTATTAATATTCAAAACTCACGAGATATACCAAACGGACTAGAGCCTATAGGTCTACAAAGAATCAACCATGGGCTTGAACTTTTGAATCAACGTGGAATTAAGCAGAGGTATCTTGTGGTTTCCCTCCAAACACTCTCGATATCATCCAAGTTACTTCTTTCCTCACGCTTTCTTCTCCAGCTAATATCCTTACAGCAGCTAGCTTCATTTGTTTTTCCGTCGATGCATATCAAAGTTTATCAGTATTATCTTTCTTTTCTCTTTTATCTTCTTCTTTCTCCTCAGGTTTCATAGTTTTAGACGTCATCGATGTCGATCCCAACACTGTACGACCTCTATCACTATCGCTAGTGATACTTGTGAATATAATACAGAACATGCCTCTTGCCCCCTCTTGCCCTATTGACTAAGGGGAGGGGTGCTATTACAGGGCGCATTTTGACAGTGGGTTGGTTTTATTTTCTGTATAAAATAGGTATGTATTTACGCATATAATACAATTAATAGTTTTAAAGATTGCTGGATTGCTCGTTCTATTCAAAGAAATGAGAGGCCTGCATGTAAGAGCTTCAGGTATCCAGGAATCGAAGCGATCTCGGAGTCGCATTTTCTGGATACCCCTGTTTGTGGCATATCATACCAATATGAAAAAAGGAACGATAGTAATAGGCTTATTTCCGAAACTAAGCGAGGAATTTCTAACTTACGTGTTTCCTCTATATACAGGTGAGAACTTGTACTGAACTTGGTGCTTCGCTAGGTTTTAGAATGAGACACAATGCCCCCATGCATTTTAAACTCCTGACAAGAGCGAGTCATTTTTGTGACTCTTGATTATTAACCTGCTTGCAGTGCATATCAGTCACTAATTACATCTTATAAAGCACAATCTAATAATGGAAGACGGAAAAGACCGTAAGAAACATAATATACAAAATAATGTGAATAAGTTAAAGAAAAAGTTGTTTAGTCACTTTTAATTAAGGATAGATGTTATGGTGAAAGGAGAAGAGGGCACTTATCAGAAGGGAAAAAGACACTTATTTGAAAAGAAACGGAGTAAAAAGGGCAATAATATATCAGAGGTTAAAATTGGGCACTTTGATTTTGTACCTAAAAAAGGGACACGCATGACTCAGAATGCAAAAGGGGCATTTGTAAAAGGAAAAGGGGCACATTTCAAATTTTAATAGGAGCATTTAAAAGAGGTGAAAAGGGGCATTATTTATTAAAAGGGGAAGGGGTACTTGCATTTAAAGCAGAAGACGAAGGGGCACCTTTTACAGAGCAAAGGGGTCACTTGTCAAAGTAAAGGGGCACGTAAGTGCCTCCAAGCTCATATTTGAATAGAAGAAGAAGGAGACAACGAAAAAAATTAAGATGAAGGAGAAGAAAAAGGTAAAGAAGAAGAAGAATTAAGAAGATGAACTTGAAGAGAAGAAGAAAAAGAAGGAGAAGCTATTAAGTGTATGCTAAGCCTAGAGAAGAAGCCAAGAAGAAGAAAAAGAAGCTATAGAAGACAGGTGTAACCGGACAGTTGACATTTTCTTATACTACAGCTATAGGAGCATACATGTGTGATACTTTGTGTTACATAATATTTATACATGTATATGCTTATTCCATATATTTTGTGTGTATATATATATATGCCATGCTCATATTCCTTTTTAATTATTTTCTCCTCTCTTTCATTGTTTCTTACCTTCCTTTCTTTCTCCTGGACCTCTTGGAACAACAGAGCCATTAATTTAATTAATGGCTCTGAATAGAGGGATCCATCCGTATTATTACAATCATTATTTTTAAATATGTTCAAATATATAACATGACCAAACCAAACAGTTGGCTTAAAACAGTAGTTTGAGGTAAGTAACAAGTAAAATTCCATACAACTTATAAGACTTCTAATGGACAATATTACAAAGAGAAAATTAAATTACTTATGATGGATAGTAGTGTGCGGGGTACGTGCGGTTTGGTGCACACTTTTCGTGAAATCCGAAGACAAAAGATCCGCTGCAATGATGCGCACGCGGCGCCGCTAAAGCTTATTAACGGGAAACCCCCTACAAATCGAGGGGCGCGCACCGTACGTACGTCGCGAACACATGCACTACATGCGACAAACTCCTTGCACACACGTACTCTGCACCAATCTCCAGATAAACATTCGACTTGTCATTGACATTGACATTGAAACTTTCGAATTGAATTCAGTTCATCTTTTCAATGGCTTTTAACGCAGTGGCAAGATATGTCAACCGAAGTAGCAGAATCCCTTCCATATTTGGGTACTCTAACCAGGTAGGCCAAGATAAGATAGGCCAAGGAAGCATAAGATCAGGGCTGCGTCTCATGTCTCACGAAACCGTCATATATATTCATAGACTCTAGATCTATACAAGTTGAGCGACATCCCATTGAAATGCGATATGCGTGTATTAAGTTTAACACGCATTTCAATGGGATGTCGCTCAACTTGTACTAAATAATGACGGTTTCGTGAGACGCAGCCCCGATCGTCAGATTCAGACTTCAGAGCTATAGGGTGGTATTCCGGTAGCGCGTACTAAGTTAGCGCGCAGGCGCGGATCCAGGATTTTCCAATAGGGGGGCCGGAAATTTGAAAATTGCGCAGACCGTTTTTTCAAGGTCATTTTAGAAGCACCATACCGGTACAATTTTTGACATTTTTATCTCTGGGGGCGTGGGGGGGGGGGGGGGGTTATAGCCTCTTGCCCGAAAAAGTAATTTTCTGGTTTCACAATTCGGCTAGTGAGCGAAGCGAGCGAGCAACAATTTAAGCGTAATATGTATATTGTGAAAGTGTTATTTATCACCAAAATAATCGAGAAAAGATATCAAAAACTCATATTCGGGCAGCTCGCTGTCCCCCCCCCCCCCCCATTACGCGCGAAGCGCGGAAGCTTTGACCTTTCATTAATTATTAGAGAAAAAAGACGACTTGTTGTACAATTCTGGACTCGGATTCCTTGTCTGATTTCAGTTTACCCCCTCCCGCGCGAATCGCGGAAGCTTTGACGTTTCATTAAATTATTAGAGAAAGAAGACGATTCGTTGTAACATTCTCGACTCGTAATCCTTGTTTGAAGGCAGTTCCCCCCCCTCTCGCGCGAAGCGTGGAAGCTTTGACATTTCATTAAATTATTAGAGAAAGAAGACGATTCTCGACTCTTAATCCTTGTCTGAATTCAATTTCCTCCCACCCGCGCGAAGCGCGGAAGCTTTGCCCTTTCATTAATTATTAAAGAAAGAAGATTTGTTGTACCATTCTCGACTCTTATGACTTGACTGAATTCAGCCCCCCTCCCCCGCGAAGCACGGAAGCTTTGACCCTCCATAGTTTAATGAAGCTATTAGAAAAAGAAGATGATTCGTTGTTCCATTCTCGACTCTTAATCCTTGTCTGAATTCAATTCCCCCTCCTGCGCTTTGCACGTAAGCTTAACGTTTCATTTAATTATTAGAGAAAGAAGATGATTCGTTGTTCCGTTCTCGACTCTTAATCCTTGTCTGAATTGAGTTCTCGCCCCCCCCCCCCCCCCCCCCCCCCACCTCCGCGCGAAGCGCGGAAGCTTTGACGTTTCATTAAATTATAAGAGAAAGGAGACGATTCTTTGTACCATTCTTGACTCTTAATCCTTGTCTGAATTCAGTTTCCCCCTGCCTGCGCGTAGCGCGTAAGCTTTGACGTTTCATTAAATTATTAGAGAAAGAAGACGATTCGTGACTCTTAATCCTTGTTTGAATGCAGTTTCCCCCGTGGAAGCGTGGAAGCTTTGACGTTTCATTAAATTATTAGAGAAAGAAGACGATTCGTGACTCTTAATCCTTGTTTGAATGCAGTTTCCCCCGTGGAAGCGTGGAAGCTTTGACGTTTCATTAAATTATTAGAGAAAGAAGATGATTCGTTTTACCATTCTTGACTCCCAATCCTTGTCTGAATTCGGTTGCCCCCCTCCCGAGCGATGCGCGGAAGTTTTGACATTTCATTAAATTATTAGAGAAAGAAGACGATTCGTGGTACTGTTCTCGACTTGTCAGAATTTTCAAAAATGTTTCTTTGTCTGCTCCTTTTTCGTCCTATGTCCTCTTACTGCCCCTACCGCCCCTAGCTACGCGCCTGCTTTAAAGGGACTATGTCCCATTTGCAGGCCAAAAAAATGAAAAAGTTAAATTCCAACTGCATTTGAAAGATAATACTAATTTAAAACTTCCCTAAAAAAGGTGGGACTTGAAAATGTCTTCAAGTGGGAAAATAACGACTATTAGTTGTCAAATCGACTTTAGGGCTATAGAGCCCAAAAGTAATAGTCTTGATTTTCAGACAATTGTACCGAATGGTCATACGTTTTATGCTGCGCAAAGATTCAATCAGTTTAATCTTGGCCATCACAAGAAGTGGGTTATTGATGTAGACAAATGCTCATGTACCCTTTACAACTATTTTCATATATGTTATTACCAAAGCAAGAAAAAAGCCAGTCAGTCACTCAATAGTGTCTGACAGTGAAGTCTAGCAAGTAAACGGTTTTCCTTGCATAATTTAAATATGAGGACACTGCTAACGTTTAAATTTCACAGATAGGACATACATGACATATTCATAATTCCTGCAAAGTTCTACAGCATTTGAGGTTGGCTGCAAAAGGGACATAGTACCTTTAAAGGGAAAATGACACAATCATGATTGTGATAGCACACAATTAGGTAAATAGAAATGAAAGGGAAAACAAGATCTTTTACACCAACCATGAATAAATCACGGCCGGGAGCGCCATAGTTTTGTGTTATCGGGCAAGGGCCGGGGCCTAGCGACCAAGCGAGATTTTGCAATGTTGAATGCTGAAATTATGCATTCTAGAAAATCCCTAAGCCCAATATGTGCGTTCTTTCCGCTATATTTCTTTCTAGCTATCTTTCTAAATTTCCTGGGGGACGTGTCCCCCTATCGGGCCAAGGATTGCCGCCCCTGTCCATGATTACTACCAACATGAGTTCAAATACAAGCACAAGCGATTTGGTATGAGCTGAATCCAAATGAAGGGCAAAATTAAGAGTTGTGAAACGGCCCTACCGTAAGACATCCAAAATATTGTGCCCTTTTTCAAATTTCTCACTAAAGAGTGATGACCGCAGGGGCTGTTTTTAACGTTTAACTTTGAATCCGAGGCTCGAGATTTTAAGCGGCCGGTGTCATATAGGACTTCTAAAAACAAGATTCTCATACAGATGGCCCCCACATTGAGCTCTGAACCCAACAATTTTGAAATTTGAACGTGGGCCCTCAACATATACAAACCCTAAAGAATTATAATCATGACCGCCTATGAACAAAATAGTTTGGGATCCTGCATATTATGTGCGGGGCTCCACACTAACTTTTTTTTCATAAGGAGTCTATACATTTTTGGGGGTTTGTCTACATACGGCACTTTAACCTAATCCTAATTTATACTACACATCTGTTTTGTAGATAACCTTGAATAAATTGATACAACTTTTTCAACCAGATAATGCAAAACATATGTTATTTACCTCTTATTAGTCTAATATATTTATGTGGTCCCAAGAGGTTTCGACTTGTGCAAGGTATACCTGTACATTTAAACGTGTTAAATTGTAAGACTTACGGTCCGGAATAAGAGTCAGTGACGAAGCTCCGAGGGGAGGGGGGGGGGTCAAAAGGGCACATGTATTTTCTGAATTGTATTGTAAGAAAGAGAGAGAGAGAGAGAGAGAGAGAGAATAGAGTGAGAGAGAAAGAATGAGAGATCATGGTCAAGGATTTAAATTCAATTTTCTTTAAAATTGTAAACCTGGTGTTAATGAAACTATCTGATATGTTATTGCCACGTAGTACCACGTACAAAAATTAACCACGACTATGATGTTTATTGCTGTGAAAAAAACTATTGACTTTTCACCCAGTAAATTATTATCATGTTTTCGATCTTGTTATTGAAAAAGTCAGAATTTTCTTTTGTCCTCGAACCTGCGGGGTCTACTGGGTGCAAACATAAATTTCTAAACATCAATTGAAACTTATCCCAGGAAGCCTAACAATTAAAGCTGTTGTTTATTCAAATAGCCTTAATTGTAGAGGCGATGAACAGATATGAGTAATAATAATACATAGCCGTTGGCACTGCGGACAGTGAAAACAACAATGTGAAATCAACTGTGAAAACAACAAAGTGAAATCAACTGTGAAATCAACTACATGTTTCAAAAGTCCCTAAAGAGTAAATTGCTATTCCATATTCTATAGCATTACATAATATTAATAATAATACTACTTGATATTTATATAGCGCACATATCCACCATAAAGTTGCTCACGGCGCTTCGGTGTTTCACCGGTGTCAGGGGCCAGAGTGACCGGGTGACGTTCTGTGTCCTAAGACACAGAACGCCGAAAATTGGTTGGAGATACACGTCCGTCTTCGGCGATATGTGTCTTGGGTCGGACGCATATCGCCGCGTATATCAAGGCGAAATCAGTCCAATGGCGAAATGCGTTCTACAACTTAAAAATCGACTTAAAGTGTGCATATCTCCAGTCTCTCTCTCACACAAACCCTGGTCTTCCTCCAGTTTCATCTATCTTTTCATTCATCCCTCTCGGGCTCTCCCTTCTCTATTTTTATGTAAGTATACCATTACTTTTCTCTCTTTCTTTTTATCCTCTCTCTCTCTCTCTCTCTCTCTCTCTCTCTCTCTCTCTCTCTCTCTCTCTCTCGTTCTCACTGCCGACTCTATTTTGTTCACCTTTTATCTTTCCTCTCGTATCAGTGCTCACAACTGTTTACCCCCACCACTTTTGCTTTCCTTGTTCCACTCTCTATTTACCGCCTCCCCCTCCCCTCTCTCTCTCTCTCTCTCTTTCTCTCTCTCTCTCTCTCTCTCTCTCTCTCTCTCTCCCTTTACATGTATAATTATATAGCGTGCATAATTTTCGCTTTTCTTAATGTTCCAAGATGCACGAATTCATTATTTATTATGTTCTATATAATATATTCATATTTAAAGTATCATACAATTCTTTTGTGTAATGTTGTTTTCCATAGTACTGATTATCACTAATACTTCATGTATACTTGTGAAGAGTTTTGTGGAGACTGACTTCCCCTATAATGAAAAGGGTGGCAAGTTTCGGGGGGGGGGGGGGAATTGTCATCGGGGTGGTTGTCCTTCGTGGTTCTCCTCACCTTTTAACTTTCCTCTCGTATACGGTACTCAACCCCCCCCCCTCTCTCTCTCTCAATGAATATTTAAAAATA